GAAAGCCACGTCGACCTCCTCCTCCTCCTCCCCCCCCCCCTCTGCAGCGAACCATCACCTGCCAAACCTTCCATGGCGACTTACCTTGGCCTTGAGATTCTCTTGCTTCCCCCACTCCTCTTCCTTGTTTGCTTCTTCTGCTGACAGTGGGAAAGAAAAATTCTACACTTGCCATCTTCTCTCGTCCCTCCACCGCCTCGGCTCCTCCTCCTCCTCCTCCTCCTCCTCCTCCTCCTCCTGTCTCTGCCTCCGTCGAGTCCTCAAAGTCCTCAACATTGTCCCTTGCCGGTCCATCTCGCGTCAACATCTGTTTCACCTGAGCCTCACCCGACATACCGTCGATCCCCTCCATGTCGACCATACCACCCATCTCCTCCTCCACTCTGATCGCACCTCTCCACCTCTCACTCTCTTCCCCCTCAGCTCGGAAAGCCTCGCTAAGCTCCATCTCCTCCCTCATGGTCTCTGCCGTTTTGTCTTCGGTTGCTCGCTGCATGTTCAAGGACTGGATGTTACTTCGCACGTTCTTTTCACCCCAGCAGTATCCTTCTACTTTTAGAACTCGCTGCAAATATCTTCAGAGTCCCGTAAAATCTCCTCCTCCTCCTCCTCCTCCTAACCCCTCCCTCCTCACCTGTGACATTCCGCAGACTTTACAAGCATATCGACCTCCTGGGTACGAGGGCACACGAGAAGGACCTCGGAGTTCAACTTGGATGCGCGAGTTTGAAGCTCTTTCAGCCTTGACATCAAATCAGCATGACGATGATGTTGGAAATGATGTTGAAAATGACGGTGACAATGATGTTGAAAATGATGGTGATGGTGATGGTGGTGGTGATGATGATAAGGACGATGGAGGTGGTTATGGCAATGAGACAAATGAGTATCGGGGACAAACAAGTTGTTCACTTGTTTACCTGGATTGTTCCACAGTTTGCGCAACGAACAAACAGAAAGAGGTGGCGGATATCTGACATGAACGTGTCTGACATCAACAAACAAGTTCCCCACTGTCTGCATTACCTTTCACTACCTCGCCCTCACTTTTCTTCCCAACAGTCTCATCACTTTGCATTCTTTCTTCCAAGCTCGACTCGGGATATTCCAGCACAAACTTTGACCGACTCTCGCCATCCTCGCTTGCTCGTGGCTTCTCCTCCTCCTCCTCCTCCTCCCATCCTCTTCCCACCATCTCCTCCTTCCTGCGTCTCTCAGTCCGCTGGTTCTCCTCAACTCGAGGAGCTTTGAAGTTGGGCGCGCTCCCATCCGACTCGTTTGAAATTCTCTGCAGCCCCACTCGCCGCGTCTGCAGCTCCAACGACCTCCTTCCGGTCGGCTCCTCCTTGGCCCTGCATCTCACTTCACCTCCTACCGCAGCTTCGCACAGCCTCGCCTGTCGACGTCGCTCACGTCCTCTCCTCTCGACGTGATGTCGACCGAGAACTCTCTCATCTTCACAACTTCTCCAACTTTGGCGTTCACCTGCCGCATCCTTCAGGCTGAAGCTCTCGGTGCTCAGCCTCACCTTGCCCCCCTTGCACACAACCTTGCGATCCTCGTCCAGCAGTGTCGCTTCCCCACGGCTGCTGACAACCTGCGAAGATGCGCATGAGGTGGCAGACTTTAGGAGGAGGAGGCATTTCTCACCAGAAAACCATCTTGCCAGCGCTGGTTGGCCCTTTTATGATGGATGCGGTCCGTGAAGACACATCTGAGCATGAGATCACTGGAAGGCGCAGGATCAGACGAGCAGGCGAGGACCGGAATGTTTCAGAGTTGATCGGTTCGCCTTTCAATACAATCATCCGACAAAGAAATGAAATTACATGTATTGACCTGCAGTCGTGCCCCGCGCTGCTTGCACTCGTGGTCCTCGTAAACATGAAGTTGAGGACACCGCGGTGAAGATGATGAAGAGACGAAGTGGAAGAGAGGCAGAGGTGAAGGAGCTCTGCAGCATCAGGGTTGCTTCCAAACTCCCTCACATTCTGACTGGTCCCTTTCAATCTTTCCCCATCTCAAGTCGTGATCGTAACTTCTTCTTGAGTTGGTGTCTTTGAGCCATTCCTCGTCGATGTTGTCACATGCTTCCTCTGGGATCGGCTCTCCTCGCCATTCCATCCCTCCCCCCCCCCCCTCCTTCTCCTCGTAGCGTCTCATCTCGATCCTGACATTTTCGGGCTCATCATCCCCCTCATCCTCTCATTTTACCACCGGTACCGAGATCTCAAAAGATGTAGTTGAAATGGGGGTAGGGGTTCAAATCACAGTGGTCGATCGTTTTCTATTTTTTTTATTCTTTAGTAAAGGAATCATTAGTAACTAAAGTTTTTATGTAGCAAATAAGTATTGGCTAAAGAAATCTATTTATATTGTTCTGCCCCCACCCCCCGCCAGCATGCTGGCCTTCCCCCTCGGCACAGCCACCCCAGCGCCATCCTGCCGCCTCCCTGCTCCTCCTCCTCCTCCTGCTCCTCCTGCTCCTCCTCCTCCCACTATCCTAGTGACTCATTCCTGCTTGCTCATCACCAACCCCTGCCCTGCTCCCATCCTCCTCCCCCGCCATGCAGTCTCTTCAAGTCAGTCCGCGTGCTTGCCATGCAGACACTTGAAGGCTGCGACATCATCGGCTGCGATTCTCTTCCTCCCCTGTCCTGTTTGTTTTGTTCTGAAACCTCCCATCCTTTCCCGCTGCCCCTTCATGAATCGTTATGTGTCCATGCAATCTCCTTGAGATGTGGTGGTGTGATTCAAAGTCATTTGCTTGACGACACGCTGAAGCCAGTCAAACTCTCCGAGACAACATGCGCATGTGCATGTCTTCACTATGATCATGTCTCCTCCCACAAAATTCTATGCTTTAGAGCGTTTGTTTCGATCTGCTTGTTTGTATGGCTGGAATTCAAGCCGATGACGTGGATGAATGAGATGACAAGGAGGGTCGTGAATGTCTGCTCGCCATTGATCTTGCTTGCGTTCGCTCATACGAACAGAGTCATCTCTTACATGCTTCTGCTTTCAGGAAGATTCGCGTCCATCAGAGACAATTATAAGCTCAGTTGTTCACCAATCACCCAGCAAGAGCTAAGGATCATCGTCGGTGGCCAGAGACGTTCACTAGTGGTTGCGCGCTCCTCCACTGACCCTCTCGATTGTTGTGGCTGCCATGGATGGTCAGACGTTCTGCTCAGTTGCAAGGCAGGGCATCAGCAAGCTTCAGAAGGCGATCCACGAGCATAAGAAGCAGAAGGAGGCTGAAAACATCAGCGGCGCGTGCGAGCGCTTCTTGCTCGACCTTGACAAACTCTCTGAACCCTCCAACTCCAACGATCCTGTCAATCTCCAAGAAAACTTCGACTATGCCGCTCTCTTCGTTCCTTTCCTCGCCGCCCTTGAGCTTCGCAACCCCAAGCTGACCGAGTCTGCGCTTGACTCACTGCACGAGTTCATTGCGCATGGATACCTCAAGGACCTGAACCTCCGCACAGACCCGCCTCGAAGCCTCGCGGAAGTTCTTGTAGAGAATGTGTGTGGATGCAGCAGCATAGAAGACGAGACCGTGCAGATGCAAGTCATCCGAGTCCTCCAGACCTCTGTCATGTGCGAGCCCAGCATTGTGCATGGCGCCAACCTACTTCAGAGCGTTCGGACTTGTTTCAATCTGCACCTGGGGAGCAGCAGCCAAGCGAATCAGACGGCTGCCAAGGCTGCGCTGTCGCGAATGATCAACGCGATGATGAACCGACTAGAGGGCCTCCCTGCCTCAGCATCCCGACACGTCGAGGACCGTGGGATTCCTGACCTGCCGGCCTCTGTCCCCAGCACCCCCGAGCCTGCCAAGAGCTCTCAAGCCGGCGACTTTCCTGCGGAGCACCCGGAGATGCCTGCCCCGAGCCCCAACGGGTCCCACATGAACGGATCCGCTGCACATACGAAGACGCCCGAAGCGGAGAAAGTCAGCGAAGAGACAGACTTCAAGTCTGTTGAAGAGCGAGACGTGTATGAAGTTTTCCACAGACTCTGCAGACTGTCGATGAAGTATGAAGTAGTGGACAGCTGGGTGAAGCCAGACGAGACGATGAATATGCAGAGCAAGATGCTCTCGCTCGAACTTCTTCTCTCCATGCTCGATCAGAGTGGTCCCAAGTTCAAAGGTTAGATGCTCGTTGCTGTGAGTCGTGCCGCTGATCCTGTTTGCTTGTCCAGGTTCCGCAAAGTTCATAACTTGCATCAAGCAGCAGCTCTGCATGTCTCTCTTGAAGAACGGAGTGTCTCCTGCTCCGCGAGTCTTCAAGGCAGCGCTGCAAGTGTTCGTGACGTTGATCTTGAACTTCAAGACGCACCTCAAACAGGAGATCGGAGTTTTCTTCACGACCATCTTCTTGAGGATATTGGAATCTCCTCACTCTACCTACCAACAGAAGACCATGGTCCTCCAACTCCTTCACAGCATCTTCCGAGACCCGCAGACCGTCGTGGATGTCTTTGTAAACTACGACTGCGATTTAAAGCAGGTCACCTGTCCTCCCTCCCTCCCTCCATCCATCCATCCATCCATCCATCCCTCCTTCCATCCATCCCTCCCTCCCTCCCTCCCTCCCTCCCTCCCTCCCTCCCTCCCTCCCTCCTGTGCCTAACGTCCCACAGGTTGACATCTTCGCCAAGATGCTAAACCAGCTTACCCGGACGGTTCAATCGGGAAGTGGCGCTTCCAAAGACACCGGTTACTTTACGCCCGAGCAGGTTCATCTCCCTCCCTCGCCACATCAATATCATTCGTTTTTCCTTGTTCAACTACCTCTACTCCCCTGTTTCGCTCCCTTCCCTTTCTCTCCCTCTCTTCTCCCTTCCCTTGCTCCCTCCCCCTCTTTCCAACCCATCCCATCTCCCTCTCTCTCCTTCTTCTCCTTGTCTTCTCCTCCTCTGTCTGGCTTGACTGCGTCTTTCTCGTCCTCATGTCTGACGATCCTCCAGGAGTTTCAGCTGCGATCGCGGGGTACGGACGCGCTCGTGTCAATGGTGGAGTCGCTGATGAGGTCGGAGGTCTGCTGGGGTTCTGCTGGAGCTGACCCGCAAGCAGGTTCAGCAAGCTCGTCGAGAAGGACTTCATCTGGCTGGAGACGGGGGAGATTCTTCCCAGGTCCATGGCCAAGAACGAGAGCAGCGAGGGAGACCTGGAGAGCTCCGTAGACTCGAGGGTGGGAGGAGAGAGCGAAGACGTGGACCCCGTGCTGAAGCAGAAGGAGCACAAGACGCAGCTGCAGCAGGGGATCAAGGCGTTCAACCTCAAGCCCAAGAAGGGAATCGAGATCCTCACGTCCTCCGGTCACCTCAAGAAGGAGCCGCAAGCCATCGCCGCCTGGTTTCACAACCAGCCGAGCTTGGACAAGAAGGCGATCGGAGAGTACATGGGGGAGCCGGACGAGTTCAACAAGGCGGTGCTGTACGCCTACGTCGACATGATGTCCTTCGCCAACATGACCATCGACGAGGCTCTTCGCCACTTCCTCTCGGGTTTCTGGCTGCCCGGGGAAGCGCAAAAGATCGACCGCATGATGGAGAAGTTCGCGGAGAGATTCTGCAAGGACACCGACTCCTTCTCCAACGCCGACACTGCATACGTGCTCGCCTACTCCATCATCATGCTCAACACTGACGCGCACAGCCCCAAGATCGCTAAGAAGATGACCAAGGAAGAGTTCGTGCGCAACAACCGAGGGATCAACGACGGGATGGACCTGCCACCTGAGTTCCTGGAAGGAATCTACGATCGGATAGTGGCCAGCGGCTTCAAAGTGAAGGAGGACGAAGACGTTGCCACGTCAATGTCCACGGACTCCGAGAAGTCAGTGCATGAAAGGTACCGAGCTGAAGCCCAGCAGCTCATGTCAACAGCTCAGGGGCTGCTGAAGAAGGCGGCGGAGCAGAGCTCTGATCACTTCTTGATCTCCAACAAGTCGGAGCACGTCATCTCGATGCTCGAGATCAGCTGGGCTCCCATGCTCGCGGCCTTCAGTGTGGTCATGGAGGAGTCAACGGACAACGGGCTGATCGCACAGTGTCTCAAGGGCATGACGGGAGCCATCACTCTCCTCAGCATCTTCAGGCTCCACAGCCAGCGCGACGCGTTCGTCTCCACCCTCACTCAGTTCACCAACCTCCATGGCCACACGGTGCGCGAGGTGCGACAGAAGAACCTCGAGAGCATCCAAGCCGCCATCGCCATCGCCCGCAACCTCGGAAACTTCCTGGGCTCCTCCTGGGGACCTGTGCTCCGCTGCTTCAGCGAGCTCGACCGCCTGCAGCTTGCGGGCTCGGGGTCGCGGTTGGGAAACGTTTTCGGAGGGTCGGAGAGCTCGGGGAGCCACGGGTCGAGGAGGGAGTGGTTCGAGGACAAGGACAACCGCAAGGAACTCATCGAAGAAGCCAACTCCCTCAAGCTCGAAGAGATCGACACCGCCGCCATCGATCGCGTCTTCTCCTCCTCCGCTCGCCTGAGCGACGAAGCCATCATCGACTTCGTGAAGCACCTTGTGGCTGTCTCTCACGAGGAGATCGAGTCCTGCCCTTCCGCCCCGCGCGTGTACAGCATGCAGAAGATCGTAGAGATCACCTACTTCAACATGTCGAGGATCCGCATCGTGTGGTCGCGCATCTGGTCAATCCTGGGGGAGCACTTCCAGAGCGTCGCGCTCGCGGTCAACACGGAGCTCTCGATGTACGTCATCGACTCCATGCGGCAGCTGGCGCTCAAGTTCCTGGAGAAGGACGAGCTGACGTCCTTCCACTTCCAGCGAGACTTTCTCAAGCCGTTCGACTTCGTCATCGCCAACAGCAAGACGGCTGAGATCCGCGAGCTGGTCGTGCGCTGCCTCACGCAGGTGGTTCGATCGACGGCGAGGAACATCAAGTCGGGCTGGAAGATCGCCTTCCAGGTGCTCAACATCGCAGGGCGAGACGAGTCAGACACCATCGTCCTCCTCGCCTTCGACCTCGTCCGGAAGGTCATCCACGAGAGCTTCCACCAGGTCACTTCCGACCCGGCCCATGGCCACCTCGCCTACGCCGACTGCCTCAACTGCCTGGGCGTGTTCGCCAAGAACCTTCGGAACAAGGAGGTGGCGCTGGAGGCCGTGGACCTCATGTGCCTCTGCAACAAGATCTCCCTGCAGGCTCTTGGCGAGGACCTCGACCACACGCTCTTCACCGACAGTGAGCGGCACGTCAGGATCTGGTTCCCCATCCTCACCGGCCTCGCCGGCCTCTCCTCCGACCCTCGTCTCGACCTTCGCACTCGCGCGCTCGACAAGCTCTTCGAGACGCTCATGGCGTACGGGCCCAACTTCGACAAGAGCTTGTGGGGGCACGTGTTCCATGGCGTTCTCTTCCCCATGTTCGACGACGTGTACCACGTGGACGAGGTGGCGGACACGGAGTGGCTTGAAACCTCCTTCTCTGCTGCCATGGCCCAGATGACGGACGTGTTCGTGTCGTGCTTCGAGGGCGCGTCGCCGCTGCTACAGGAGTTTCTCAAGATGCTTTCCCTCTGCATCGTTCAGCACAACGAGCGGCTGGCGGAGATGGGCGTCAACAGCATCAAGCGGCTGCTCAGTGAGGCGGGTCGGCAGTTCTCGTCGGAGATGTGGGCCATCACCTGCGGGACGGTGGTGCAGCTCTTCGAGTCTGCGGGGCCTCTGAGGGAGGAGGAGCTCGCGGGGGGGAGCGACATGGAGGAGAGGCTGCGGGCGGTCGAGTCGCGACATCGAGTGAGGATGCTCCTCTTCCGCCTCGTGCAAGACCTCTGCTACGACTTCTGCGACGTCCTCACCGAGGCTCAGGTGCTCCAACTCCTCAACCTGCTGGGCTCAGCACAGAGCAACGCGATGGGGCTGTCGGGGGAGGGGAGGGAGAGGATGGGAGCGAGTCAGTTCCTCCAGTGGATCTACGCGGAGTCAGCGGAGGCGTCGAGGAGCGAGCTGCAGTTCATGATCGGCGCCTACCAGACCGCCAAGGGGGACTCGCGGTACCTCGAGACCCGCCTGCTGGAGCGCCTGCTGGAGGTGCTGAGGGAGTACTCGGGCCTGACTTCGCAGGACCAGAGGGGGAAGTGGGAAGAGGAAGAGGCGGCGGGAGTGACCCAGGGGAGCAGGAAGGAAGCGGAGGAGGTGGAGGCTGCGCCCTACCGAGAGCAGATCCGATGGATCCTCGCGCCGACGGTGATTGTGATCCTGCAAGGACTGGCAGCACTCGACCAGCAGCGGTTCGAGCGGCTGCTTCCCCACATCTACCCTCTGCTGTGCGCGCTGGTGGAGGGCAACGACGGGAGAGTTCGATCGCTTCTCTCCAACCTCTTCCTCCTGCGAGTGGGTCCAGCCCTGAGGATCATGAACTGACCTCCTCCTCTTCGACTTGTAATCTACAGTTCTCATGTGCGTCAGGACAAGCTCACGGTCTCCTCTCGGTGTCGAAAACTTGCTGTTTCGCTTCGATAAAGTTCACATCATCCGCCACCTCCTCGTCCACCACCTCGTCCTCCTCGTCCACCACCTCGTCATCCTCGTCCACCACCTCGTCCTCCTCGTCCACCACCTCGTCCTCCTCGTCCACCACCTCCTTTTCCTCGTCCTCAACCGCCACCTCCTCGTCCACCTCCTCAACCTCCTCCTCAAATACACCACCATTATCATCACCCCTCTTCGTGTACTAATAAGCGTAGGCCGCCATCTTCGCTCTTCGTTTCTCTTGAGCTCATTCGAGACTCAGCGGCTCCTCCCAACTTCCCGTCGCTCCTCCCTGCGAGAAGTAGTCGAGCAAGTTGGTCTGTCCCGACGAGCCGCCTGCCTTGATTGTCAGCTCCTTCCCCCCTCCTCTCCCTCACCGAGAGTGATGCTTTCGCCCCCGAAGTTCCCGACGCCCTGCCCGTCCAGCGCGTTCCCGACAACGTTGAGTTTTTTTTCGATGCACTGAGGTTGAGGTGAGGGAGATGAAAGAAGAGCAAGAGAAGAGCAGAGCAAAGGAGAGGAGCAGATGAGGACAGGAGGCTCACCGGCCACATGATATCATCAACGCTTCCCTTTGCAAGCATGTAGTGGATGTTCACTGAGTACTGCTGTCCTATCCTGTGCACTCGATCCTCAGCCTGCATCATCACTCCTGGAGTCCAATGAAGCTCCGCAAACACCACTGCGTTGGCTGCCGTGAAAGTCAGCCCGGTCCCCGCCGCTGTCACCGACAGCACAGCAGCGCTTATGTCAGGGTCCTTCTGGAACGCGTCGACCAGCCTCGCTCGCTCGCTCATGCTCGTGCTCCGTCGATGCGGATGCTCTTCGTCCTGGCCAGCTTGAGAGCGTTCTCGATCCCGTCCAACACCTCGATGTGATGCCCGAACACCAGGAACTTGCCTCCTCCATCAACCATGGTCGCGAGGTACTCCTTCACTGCCGCCAGCTTCTCTGCTCCCGTCTCCTTGTACAGCTGATTCATGAGCAGCTGTGCCAGCCCCTTGGCGTTCTTCCTCTCCTCGGGTGCCGCTCGGTTGTTCATAACGATTGCGTTCAGGCTCTGCATCTCCTCCAGCTTCTTCTTGAACGCAGCGTTCGCCTCCTTGGACGTCTGCACCCAGATCTGCTGCCGCCGCTTGCTGGGCAGCTGGGTGAGAACCTCTGACTTGAGGCGTCGGATCATCACGTCGTTGAGGAGGCACCGGAGCTCCGACAGGTTGGAGGCTCCCGAGGCGTCGAGGGCCCACCGGCCAGGCTTCGCGTCGCAGTAGCGATAGGCAAACTCGTTCCAACTGCCAAAGAGCTTCGGGCGCAAGGAAGAGATTTGCGTGTAGAGCTCGGAGGGGCGGGAGAGAGCTGGCGTGCCCGTGAGGAGGATTGCTCTCCTCACCTTGCGGATCAGAGGAAGAATCGCCTTGGTGCGCTTTGCGGAGGACGACTTGAGGAAGTGACTCTCGTCAGCTATGAGCACATTAATACTCATCTTCGAGAGCTCCTCCGTGAATTTAAGGAAGAGATCGTATGAGATGATGGTAATCTTACCGCCCATCTGATCTTTTCCTGCTGCCATGTCAGTACGAGTCAAACACGACACGCTCCTCACCTGACATGATGACATTCACGTCTTCGTGATCGACGTCCTTGAGCCATTTCATGAGCTCCTGCAGAGCGCGTGAGTGGCCGAGGACAAGCCAAGGGGAGAAAGTGACCTGCTTCCACACGAGTCTGAGAGGGGATGGGGTCACGATCAGCAGCGGCCATTCTTTCTCGTAGTACTTGGCGATGGCGATGGCTTGTACGGTCTTGCCCAATCCCATCTCGTCCCCTATCAGCGCCCGACCCCCATGCCGGATGGCGAACGCGATCCCCTCGCGCTGAAACGGCAGAAGCCCGGCGAGCAAGTCAGGAGGCAGAGCTTGCCAGATATGCTCGAGGGAGACCATCTCAGAGCTCACGGCAGAGCTCTGACTCTCAAGCTCTCTGAGGGCCTTGAGGAAGGTCGCAGGCAGCGGCTTCACACTTACATTGCTGCACTTGCTCAGACTGCTGACAAGCTCATCGTGCTCGGAGACATGAAAACTCCACTCGCGAGATTGAGGGTTGTAACTCCTTGTCTTCATCTCCTTGAAGATGTTGATCACTTTAGGGTTGTAAGCGCACCTTGCCGTCATCTGACTGTCTCCTGTCATGTTGAGAGTAACCTGGAAAGATGGTCCTGTCTGCTCCTGTGGCTGCTGCTGCTGATGCTGCTGCTGCTGCTGCTGCTGCTGCTGCTGTGGCTGATGCTGCTGCTGCTGTTGCTGCTCCTGCTGCTGCTCCTGCTGCTGTGGCTGCTGCTGTTGTGGCTGATGCTGCTCGTGCTGCTGCTCGTAATGATGTTGCTTCTGTAGCTGGTGGTATGGCTGTTGCTGTTGCTGTTGCTGTTGCTGTTGCTGTTGCTGTTGCTGTTGCTGGTGCTGTTGCTGTTGCTGTTGCTGCAAGAGGATCGGTCTGTTCTGGTGATTTATCATCGATTGTGACGGGAGATTGTTTTGCATGTGTGTGAGATCGCCATGGTTTCTCTGTTGCTGTAAGTGCAATGGCCTGATGGGAGAGTTGGAAGCAGCATGTTGAAGATGACTGGCATCAGCTCCTCTCGACCGCGCGTTATATTCTTCATGGTCAGCCTCCTCCAGCAAGTTCCCTCCACGATAGACTGTCGGCAACTCTGAAGGCGATTTGTGGGATGTACAAGGGGAGGAAATGTTTGATGTGGAGGAAGCGAGCGGAGAGGAGGGGATGTGGCTGGGTCTCCTCAGGCCTTCAGACCTCAAGCTGGTATGTGCCATGCTCCCTGCGGATGAGAACAAAGACTCGGAGGGCTCGTCTCTCGTAGAAGAATCTCTAACGCTGTGATGATTGACATGGCTGGAGCCTTTGAATCTTTTTGCCTGATTTAGTGCCAACTCAATGGCTGCCATTTCTTCCGCATCGACGAACTCAAGCTCCATGGAGACTGAGTATGATAAAACTTGGAATTTCCTCTATATTGCAACGAAAGAAATCTGACTACCTTAACTTTCCCAAAAGTCCGAGCAACTGTTTTGATTGTTTTGGATTGCTTTTTCTGCTGCCTTCACGTCAAGATTCTCTACGCGTTGAAACCTTACTGCCAACATCTGTGCATACATGCGAATGGAGGGAAGCATCAACAAGCACCCTCCGCATAAACGCCTCTTTCCTCTCTACTCTCTCCGGAAGTTTCACTGATCTCACTGCCTTCCCTTTACCACTCACCCTTCCCGTCTATCTTCTACACGTCTCTATCCTCTACACGTCTCTATCCTCTATCCTTGTCTCTCCTCATCTACCTCGCACCTCCCATCTTTCTAGCCGCGCCATTTTGCCCGTATTCGCCGTTACCACCCGTTACACGAAACGTGCTTTTACCAAAGCTCTAATCAATTTTTTCGGCGCACTAAAACAGATAGATTTCGAAATTTTAAAAGTATGTATGGTGCACTGACAAAAAAGTTGCAAAATTTTAATGATTGACAGTGCAACCTGCAATGTACCGGTACTATCCAGCCCATTGGATGGGCAGGAGTGGGTGGTACTGCATTCACAACGTTATTTTGTCAAAATAATTGTGCAAAGCGCACTCCAAGGTAGCACCACGCAATAATGCTGACTCATGGTGACATTGAGTAAACATTTTTGTATCGAACCAGAACTGCCCGAAAAATGCAATCCAGCAGAGCAAATGATGCCATGTTGCAGGAGCGACAACGACGACAAGAAAGGGCATTTGACCTGATAGAGAACAAAGTCATCGCTGATAGTACAAAGAAAGTTTACCGATGCAAGATCAATAGGATCGTGCGTCTGTTACTCAAAGTGAACCCCAGGGCTGTCGACGAGGACGGCGAATTGATACTCCCAATGGCATGGAAAGATTTGAAGAGTTTGTTTGGAGACCTTGTCACCAATACTGACTTACCAAAATCTAGAAGGAGAAGAGGAGGTCAAGAGCAGGAAGAGCAGGAAGAGCAGGAAGAGCAGGAAGAGCAGGAAGAGCAGGAAGAGCAGGAAGAGCAGGAAGAGCAGGAAGAGCAGGAAGAGCAGGAAGAGCAGGAAGAGCAGGAAGAGCAGGAAGAGCAGGAAGATCAGGAAGAGCAGGAAGATCAGGAAGATCAGGAAGACGACGATCAGGAAGACGAAGATCAGGAAGACGACGGAGATCATGAGGATGAGGAAGAGCAGCAAGATGATCCGCATAACGTACACGAGGGTGAGAACGAGGACATTTCAGGATACCAGGCAAGCAAGAGAACGCTGTCGTTAGGAGCACTGCAGGGGTACAAGAGTGCGTTGAAAGCATATTACAGAGACAGAAATGTAGCTTTTGACGCGACTGGAATGCCATCGGGCAGTACTTTAAACGACCGGCTCAGTCGACTCATCAAAGGTTATGGAAGGGTGGTTACTCAAAAGAAATCCACGGGAGTGATGAAATTGAAAGAAGGCAAAAGTGTCTTGGCAGTGAGAGAGTATGGAATTATTTGTGAAAAGATGACCCAGATACGTTCAGACACTATGGCACGAGAAATAGGATCAACAGGCTTGTTCGGATTTGCTGGTACCACGATCATGTGGAACTGTTGCTGTAGAAGCGAAACTTTAGACATTCTACATCTTGAACACTTTGATTGGGAGAACGACTGCTTGAAGCTGACAATATTGAAGACCAAGATGGACCAAGGGGGTGTTGACGCCGACATTTTTTCTCCCAGAACAAGGCACATATTTGCAGCACCCAACAAACCTATGTCTTGTCCTATCTTGGCCATTGCTTTGTATGCGTTTTCCCAAACCAGAATGAGGATAAGTCACACCAAATTTTTTCTGGGAAACGACCAGAAGCAGAGGTTTGGCCAAGTCTTGAGAAGGGTATTGTCCACAGAGGACATGCAGGAGGAAGTATGGAGGGATGTTGGTAAGTGCTAGCCTGAGGAAGTCTTGAGACTGAGATTGAAATGTGCAGGTTCGCACAGTTTTAGGAAGGGGAGCGTGACGCATCTACTAGGCATTCCGGGAGGACCAGTCAGTACATCAATATTTCAACGAGCCAGCTGGTCCTTAGGCAACACCAAGGACAGGTACATCGGAACAGTGGAACCAGGCAATGATCAATACTGTGGGCGTATTCTAGCAGGGAACAACACCAAGAGCGAGAATTTCGATGTGTTACCTCCTCATTTCACAAGAGAAGGTCTGGCAAGAATCAACGATATTGGTATGCACAAGTTCATTGATGGATACGACACGTTCCCGGACAGCTACAAGAGATGTTTACCAATGTTCCTTGCGCAGATAGTGTACCATCTGGACCGTCTCAAAGACATGTTTCCAAGTCACCACTTCCTATGGGGGTCACCTGTTTTTGCAGTGAAAGGCTCAAGAACAATGCAATTTTTACAAGAATTGAAAGAGCATCATATCAGTGTTTGTCGCGGGGAATGCGAAGAATGCGGTATGACCTGCAGTGGAGTTCCGATGCACGTGATGAATGTGGCTGAAATCAGGAAGCTGCGAGAGAGTCAAGAACAGGGAACAAAGCTGTTGCACGATACAGTGTTGAATGTTTCAACTTCGCTACCGCAAGACATTTACGAGCTGATCATTAGAAACTTTGAGGTGAACGGAGCCATTCCACTAGCTCAACGAGATCTGGAAAAGCTGCGGGAGGATCTGACATCCATGATGAATACAGGATTCAGTGAAATCATGCAAGGACTTCTGACGTCGAGACTCAGGATGCAGGGTCCTGAGGAACTGACAGGGAGAGGGGGTGGAGGGGAACTGCCA